GCAAATACAAAGAGTCCTGCCCAAAAGCCACTAATTGTAAATACCACAGAAGCATGCAATACAGTATGAAACAATACCTTTTTGTCCAAGTTTTGGGCTTCAATTTCCAAGTACACAACCCTGGTGTCTTTAATCTCCTCTGCTGAAATCTGTGCCACAGAAATTTAGGAAGAAAACATTAAAGAAGCAACCCCACAGAGTTTTGCTTGTACTTTGTCCATGAAAGAAACTATAGCTGTATCTATCTTTCCTGTACGTATGCAGCATTTGAAGATACGCTGACAGAAAACCAGAACATATGAAAAAGTGAGAAACCATTTTTTCCACACAAAAACTTACTTACTGTAATGGTGCCCTTTCCTGCTGGCTTTCCCTGTTTCAGTTCCAGTGGTCGGGTGAACACAGAGCTGGACACAACCTAAGGTTAAGAGACAGATAAATATAAATACCAAGTTAGACAAAGAACAAAGAATTACTCTTCAAGGGCTAAATTTTCAAGCCCTCCTCAAAGATCTAAAAGGATTTAAATGCGTTTCCAACAGTGACAGCCATCAGAGTTCGTGCTCCTGAATGGGTGAACAATCTGAAAGTTACCTTCTCTCGCTATCCACAGAACAGTACCTACTAACATGTCTCCAAACTTAACCTTAGCCTCCTATTTCTCCTGAGACACAAGAGGCAATTTCATCACAAGCAGCCAAAAAGACATTAAGAAAAAGATGACTATTTAATTTGTCAAGTCTTTCTTAACAACATGAACCTTCCTTTCTTATCCTGCCTCACTATACAAACCCCTCCTCAGGAAATGAATACAGAATCTCAAAAAGCCTGATTTCCCCGAATTTACTGCTTAATGGCCACTTTATACAAAGGAAACTCATTAGAGCTCTCCAAGCACCATGCCTTCCTCACTCCCAGACTGCCTTTAGCGCTACAAGCTCCTCCTAAATTAAGCAAATTAATTGCAAATCCATGTGTATTTCCAGCCTTCGCTTTGTGATCGTGACAGAGATTTTTTCAACTACATTCCACAGTAACACAAATGAACCTGTTCAGCAAAATGTTTTCAAATTTGAATGTGTCAGAGCCTTTGATAAAGCAGTCTTTCACCCCATTTTTCATTACAAACCCAACACTTGCTGCTACTTTGTACATTATTTATCATGCTTCTAATGCATACCTGTCCCAGCGTGCACTCGATCCCTCCGAGGTAGTCATCGTCATTCAGATCAAAGGACTTGTTATCAATATCATACACACCGAACTTCAGCTTCTGCACTTTCTCAAAGTAGTAATCGACAACCAGTTTCTTGCAGAATTCAGGGTTTTGGCAGTTCTTTATCCTCTCTGTACGATCCAGCTGCATGAACACAGAAACAAAGACATTGATGATTAGTAAGAAGCACGCTTCCTCCCTCACAGCTTTTCATCTGCACTGGTCGAACACAAGCACCAGCCCGGCTACACACCCCAGCCTATGCTTTGTGCTCTGATGAACCAGGCCATGCAGGCAGGCTGACTGACAGCTTGCCAAGAAGGGAAAATGCATTGGATAATACATATTACTATATGGAATATTCTGAAAATAGGGGGAAAAAGGCTGAGGGAACACCTTCTGTATTCTGCAGTATGTGCTCTGGGGTAAAGGAAAGAGGGCAGGTCATACCATAACAAGCAAATAACCCAATGCAACTGTAAACAAATGTATGAGCGATGAATGAAACAACGAAGGTAAAACCCTGAACAGTTTGAGAGCGTGGGCATTGGGGGCCGCTTGCTGAATGCAAATCCAAATTAAAGGTCTCATGCAACCACTAGGACATGGAAATAGGGAAAATCCAGTGCGTCTGCCCCGAGGGTGAAGTGGGACCGACCTAACCCTAACCCTTACCTCAGCCCACTGGCCCCCGCCCAGGTCCTGGAGCAGGACGCAGAGCGGATCCGACTTGGAGCCCAGGTCCTTGTCGAGGAGGCTCTGGCAGGACACCGACAGCTCTACCTTGGACACGCACCCGGCCATCTGCGGGCAGAGCACAGGGTCAGACCCACCAACAGACGGACAGACCAGACCGCCCGCTGGCGGC